TCCAATTAAGGAAAGTTACAATATTGAATCCATTTGAATTTGAAATTCAAATTGGATGAATTTATTTACTTTCCTAATTCTTTAAACCCAATTAAGGAACCTTAATTAGCCTCATTGAATCCCCTCCCCCTTCTCCATGCCGCCGGCCCCTTGATTGGGCCCATCTCCTTTAATGCTTCATGAGGGGATTAATTGCAAGGCATTCAAATTTCAAACCCATTGATTTTCCCTCCAAACTCACTCAAATCTGAAAATAATTTCAGATTTATGAGTTAAAACAATTTCTATTCCCCCATACCCTAGCCGTCCCCCTCTCCCTCACACCCGCCGGCCATTCTCTCCCCACCGCCCCTCTCTCTATCTCTCTTCACCCTCCTCTCAAGGTGTAGCTCTTTCTTTGATTGGAGACGGAAGATCAATCCGGAACTTGAGTTTAACCTTGCACATCACGACGTTTCTGCGAGAAGAATTCATCTAACCTTGGACGGAACAATTATTGGAAGGTACGTGGGATTTCTACGCCGTCTCTCCGTGAAGGTGATTCTTTCTCCTCCTTGATTCTTCTACTTTTGAATTCCAAATTCTTCACGAGAATTTGTTCAAAGCAAGAGATTGTGTCCACTTGTTGCCATCCACTAGTATTCGTAGGGTTTGTTACTTCCTTTGCCGTAGATCTCGTTGTTAAACAAGGGATAAGTTGGAAACTACTTCGCATGCAATGTTTTAATTTTCCTATGTGTTTTGATCTAGCTTAGTCTCTTGTGTAGCTTAGCCTAAGCGAAAGAAATCATTTATTTGTTTTACGTCGTTGTTTTAATCGCTTATTACGAGAATCTGAAATTGCTCTTAAATATTTTGTGCAAATCTCCAATTACGCATATAGTTCTACATCACAAGGTGTTGAGGAAGTTTGTCGTAGCTCCTCGTGAAGGTTCAACTGGAGGAGACGAAGTTTCCCCCAAGCATCGAAGTGTGGAATTTAATGATCCTTTGCTTGCCTGGATCAGCCACCCATAGATGTTTTGCTGCTTTTGAGTTGGGGAGGCACCAAACAACAATGGGAGTCTTCTCCAACAAAAGGGGCAGCAGCTTGGACGGAGGAGAATCAGTGGACAGCAATTCAGTCTTCCAACACAGCAGCTATAGGTCTTCCAAGGGCTGAGGAAGAATGGTGGACAGCAATTTTCCTCTTCCAGATCAGCAATCTTAGGCTTCCAAGAGGTGGGGATACAATGGCAATGAATGAGATTCAAGCTGCAGTTGGGGGAAGGAGGATAAACACTATCAAGTGGAGTTTGGAGAGTTGTAATGGAAGAAAATCCCACGGGAACGCCTCGAGGAATTTCAGCCAGCAAAGGAAATTAGAGAAAGGGTTTAATTCCCCAAGACAGAAGGCTTATTTTGGCAAGATTTGAACGGTGCGGCCAGAGAAGAATTTCGGCCAGGTTTTAGGGAAAGGATTTTGAATTCTTTTCAAGGCACATAAGGCTTAGGAAATAAATCATTGCATTTATTATAGAGGGGGGCCGGCGATTTAATGATGAGGGAGGGGATTGGGGAGGTGAATTGGATTACTTAATTAAGGCTTAAGGAATTAGGAAAGTGTTTTAAATAAATCAAATTTGAATTTGAAATTCAAATTGAATTCTAATAGGAAACTTTCCTAAAATAGATTCAAACAAATAAGAAAGGATTTGAACCTTGAATTTAATTAATTTGGATTCCAAATTGATTCCAAATTAATCGGAACTAAATTAGGAAATCCAAAAGGGGGCCAAGTGGAGTGGGGCCGGCGGTTTAGCCAAGCATGGCCGGCGGCTAGGGGGGGAGATAGGGAGGGAATTAAGGAGGCTTTAATGCTTCCTTAATTTTGGGGATTGGGTTTAGGATGATTTAAGTCATCCTAATGAATTCAAACTCCAATGGAGGGAAAATTTGAACTTTCCTAAAATAGATTTTATAATTTAAGAAAGAATTTGAATTTCAAATTTGGGGAAATTTGAATTCAAAGACTAACTAAATTATGACAATCCAAAATTAGGCATAATTCAAATTAGGCAATGGGGGATGGGAGAGAGTGAGGCCGGCGGCTTGAATGGGGGCGGGTAAGAGGCCGGCAGCAAGGTGGAGATGGAGACGATGTGATGGTGGGTGGAAGAAAACGACTACAAAGAAGTAAGATGGTGAAGGAAGGTGGAAGATAAAAAAAATGACAAGGGATAAATACGAAACCACGAACCCGGTCGTCTCCAAGGTTGGTGGGTGATCCGTTCTCCCTCTCGTAGGGATCTGTCCAAAGTTCTCTCCAAGAACTCTCAAACGCACTCAAACACAAGAGTGAGAAAATTTTCTCATAATCATTCATTAACCCATGAAGAGCAACATGAGGGCTATAAATAGCCTCTTACAAAAGGACTCAAAATAAGAAGATGACAATGCCCTTAGGACTTACATACGACCTCCCTTAAGTAAAGGGGTAAAATGGGAAAATAATTAAAACATAAATAATAAAAGACAAATAACATAATAAACGAAAAATACATGAAAATGACTCAAAAATACAACGACTCGATCGTGGCTGTAGATCGATGGTAACGTCTAAATTCATGCTCTGATGTCCCCATCAATATTGACATCTAATAGTATGTCAATAGATTAACTCTTGATCAAGACAATCAGCGGATAGACAAAATCCAGAGCAATCTAGTTGATGTTTCGAAAAAAAAGTTGCATCCGCAAATTAGATTTTTTATTGTCAGTTTCTCTTAAGCTTTAAAGGACATGAGCAATAGCTTTTATGCAAAATGCAATAGAGATAATTACTTGAAGCTAATAAAATCATTTTATCCGACAGTTTCTAAAGCTTAAATTGTGCCAAACTAATTTCCCCATATATGCCCCCTTGTAGAATTTAAAAACCCAAAAATTTACCCAGCCCATGTGATGCATTTTGACTCAAGGTTGAGATCAAAACGGACTGTGATGGGCTGTTACTGTGAAAGCCAATCTTTCTTTTGTTTTCCTTCCAGGTTCGTCCGGACGAAGTGAAGTTCGTCTGGGACGATCAGTTAAAAATTTGGTGACAGAGAGCTTCGTCCCAGGACGAAGGTATGTTCGTCCGTACGAAATTTGTCCATAGAGCATCGTACAGAAAAAATAATTAATTTTTGTCTGGATGATTGGAGTCTAGAGGAGATCATCCCGGGACGATCGGGGCATCGTTCTGGACGATCATGTTTAATAAATATCCGATTTGAGATATTTTTGAAGAAAGAGAAAGAGGAGGAGAGAGAAAAACGAAGGAAGAGGAAGAAAAAGTGGATTTTGGGCGACTTTGGTCTGTTTTCGTCCGTCGCCTAGTTGGAAAAGTTGTTCGACTCGAGGTAAGGCACATTATGCCTTTCTCAATTTTCAGAAATGTGGTTTTTGACGTATTTCTTGTTTCGATTTTCATTTCTGTTAGCCTAAAAGTGATTTATCTTTGTATCGACAAAACTTTTACCACGTAACTTTTGGTATGTTGTAGAGATGATGTTTTTTGCATGTTTTGAGTATTTTCTGGAAAGTTTTCACCATGTAGTTTGAATTCTGCAGAGTTTTTATCAAATAGAAAATTATCTGGATGTTGGAAAATATTGTTTCAGTACAATGAAAGTCTTGAAATGATGTTTTCTACGATCTCTGGTAATTTGATAATTTTCTGAAACTGTGAATTTTGTTCTGTTGAATTTCCGTTGTCTGCAGTTATACTCTCCGACGATATTCTGATACGAATCTGATTTCTCTGAATCTGATGTGATTTGATGTTCGATGTGGACGATATTCTGATACGAATCTGATTTCTCTATATCTGATATGATTTGATGTTGATGTGTTGTGATATCAAAAGGGAGTTATAAGGGGCCGGAATCCTTTGAGATTCTGTATGCGTCAGGAAAGGGAGGTATAAGGAGCCAGAATCCTTTGAGATTCTGTCAGGGTCCGAAAATCTAAAAAATGAATTCTGATATGATAATTCTGTATATCTGATATGTTCTGGTGCTGTAAGCACAAAGGGAGGCATAATGGGCCAGAATCCTTTGAGATTCTGTCTGTGTCAGGGAATGGAGGCATAAGGGGCCAGAATCCTTTGAGATTCTATCTGGGTCAGAAAAATCTGTGATGAAATGTGATTTGAAAGTTTTCTAAAATATGTTCTGAACTTTGATTTGAATTCTGATTTGAATAATTCTGTGACATAAATTTGATTCAGTTCTTCTGTCTCTGTTACTTCATTTGTTCTGAACGAATATAGGTATTCTGTTTGATTTTTGTTCTGTATGAATCTCTGACCTCTGTCTGATATTCTGATTTTTGTACGCTTATCTGAATTTTGTACGGCAAATGTTTTTAACGCCTTCATGTGTATTTTGATATGAGAGTTTCTGGAGATTTTGATTGGCTAGTGCAGTCTTGCTGAGCTGTTAGCTCATCCTTATTATCTACGTGATTTTCAAGTTCTGGGAAAGGGAATGAGGTGTTGGAAAAGTCGTCCTGTGTCTGATCTGAGATTATGTATTTTTGTACTTTTGATTTTTGTACGGTCATGTCTATTCTGTTCTTCTGTCCTGTTCTTTCTGTTTATAGCTATGCACTGTATTTTACATGATTATTTTGAAGAATGAGAAGAAAGAAAATGATTGATAAATTGCTGTATATTGGAAGTTTATAGTAGCTCTGTGTTTTCTGTATGATTATTTGAAAGAAAGTCTGAAACCAAATTCCAAAGCTAGATCCTGGATTCATCCGTCGCGGCTCGACGCGATTGGATTCTTTCCGGTCGGGTTGGGTCGTGACAGTTACCTTGGGCTTTTAAATGGATAGAGAAGTTAAGATAAGCAGTCAGTTAGAGAGAGAAAAAATCTAGAGAAAAAGATAAGAAGGTTGGAATAAATGTAGAAGAATCTTCTTAATCTTTGGAAGACACTCCATCTTTTTTCTTTCTATTAAATGGTTCTTGATTTTTTTTTTTTTTTTTTTGCCTTTTTCTCAACTGCCCATTGTCGGTAGTGCTTTATAAAAAGATGAAAAAGATTGCAATATTTCAATCTCTAAGCAAGATGATGTCCTTCCACACATTCTGGTCTCCTGATAACGTATTTGAATTACCCTTGCATCATTCTCTTGTTAATCAAGATATAACTAAGCTGAATTATGTAAAATTATGATTCTTCTTCTTTAATTATCCATTCAGTGGTTAATGTGTGTTGCTTTACTAATGTTTCTTTTGGGAGCTTGTGCTTTTTCCAGCATGCAAAGGGTTTGCAGGCTACTTCTTCAATATTTCTCCCACCCCAACCAAAAAATACCACGCACAAGGACCAAAACTTTGTTCATTTCCTTTTATGTTTTCTTCAAAAGGCAACGGCCATTGATGTTGTACTGCTTGATGTGAAAAGTTCAGAAATCCTTCATTGTTGGTAGATATTTTATTCCCATGTTACTATGTCCAGGCCTAAGCATTTGCTTGTATGTTGAAATAATAAAATTTACCAATCTAAAAAAATGCATTTCATGTCCCAACCAAAATGAATTCTTCAAAAAATCAGACTTTGTGTCAACAATCAAGAGATTCACTCGAGTATCCTTTACATTGATAGAAAAAATTTTGTAGCTCTAAATCATGTTTGAAAATTAAAATTTTTAATTAAAAAACCTTGTAAATAATTCTCTTCTAACACAATTGAAGCATCGGCATGACATTCTTCTTGGTTTTAAGTTAGTTGGCTTCTTCAACTTTCAAGTATTTCAGACTACTATGTCCTGCTTCCAACATATACTAGGAATATTATTAATCCTTGAAGCTCAAACATAAAGTTTGCTTTTGCTTCTTTGGTGTTTACTGTAATCACCTTAAAATTAGAGCGTTAGTTCCAAAAACATGGACTAGAAGTTTATGCATCTCCCATGCATGAACTAAAACTAGAAATTGGATTATGACCCAAAGAACTACACAGACTCATCTTATCAAGTTGAATATATGTAGTTTTTCTATGATCAAAATGACTTTAGAATACTGATAGATGTTATTATTTCATTTACATTGCCCAAAAGATGCAATATTATGCTGATTTTAGTGTAATTAACAAGTTCCCATGCCTCGATCTATTTGAAATATGAACACTTGACACATTTACCAAGCCTTGTTCTATTTGAAATTACCATGTCCGACAAAAACTTCTCAAAATATTAATCAACAGCTTGTACTTGCCACAATTATCAGCCTTAAAGGAGACAACCGTGAATATAAGAATCAATTACACATCATGTTAACACCCAAAAAATTTCATACAAGTACATGCAGTTCAAACAATGAAAATTTTACTTCCACAAAACTCATTAAACTAGCCTTTATTATTTTTAAATGCAAGATAACTAAAGGAGATCAAAACAATAAAAAACAATCAAGTCATACCGGTGAGGTATATATTTTAGGCAGCTCCAAACGTATGCCCCACCCATGGAAAATCCCATGAGATAAAACTTGGAACCTAATGCCATCTTATCAGCAAGTTCCTCAACATCTTCAGCAATGCTTTTCACTGACAGCTTCGGATTTGGATCACTCTCTCCATAACCAGCTCTGTCAAAAGACAGCAAGTATATTCCAAATTCGTCAAGTATTTCCTGAAAATTCAAGGCCAATAAATATCACCAACCAGAAAAAAAAAAGGTAAACCAACTACAATAGAAATAAAAAAACAATGACATTGTCATTACCTGTGAAACAGGAAACACATCATGTTTGCAGCAATCAAAGCCATGAATAAATATGACTTTGTATCTGGCCTTCTCCTTTGAGACACCAGTTTCAATGTACGAAAGATGCCTTCCATCCTTGAGCTTAATTCTAGGTGATGTTACAGGAGGACCATTTGGTGTTCCGCAGATATTAGGTGGTGGAGGCCGGGCTGCATTATATAACCATGCCAATACTCCCACAAGTAGAACCACTGATAGCTTTGAAACAATTCCTGGTTCACTCAAATGAAAACATCATTATCAAAATGTTAAGATAGGAAAACATGCATTTAATTATATTGTATGATGTCAAGCAGACAAAATGGAAGTACAGACTTAAAACATGTCAAAAAATAGTGGAGTGAAACACATAATACTAAAAAGGAAATCATATCAACTAAATAGGAAATTTCTCATTTGGAAATTTCTTTTTCTATGACGTAAAGATAAAATGTCTACCTCCGATATTTGAAGTCATATTCGAAATGTGAAATGAGGTTTGACAATAGCAATGAAAGGCTACAACATCAAGCATTTATCTCACAACGTGGGGTTGGCTACATAAATCTTTTTTCTTCATTGTGTCATGTTGGAAAGAGTCAAATTCTTATTTAAATCAAATAAAAAAAAGTCACTTCTAATACTTCATAACCAAGTCTTTTTAGGTATACCATTACATTTCTTAACATAGGCAAAATCTAATATATCTACTCTCCTAACTAGATCATCGGAAGGCCGACGTTTGAAACGACTCATCCACTTGAGCATTATTATCTCTGCAACACTTTACTTAATTTAATGCTTTTCTTTTAATGACCAACATTTTGCGCCATAAAGACTATGTTCAAAAAAATCTGGCTATGAAGAAGTTTATCATTGTGCAATTCAAGAACAAGGTTTTGAAAAGCTCAAAAATATATATGAATTGAAAATTTTTAAGGTTTATAGGTGGTTAACTCAAACATTTAGAAGCTCGTTTTTCATATCAATATGAAATATTTGCTTCTATGTCAAAGTATTTACATTACTGCTAACTTAGATCTCACTAGAGATTTCCTCTATTGAATAAAATAAACACAAAAAGAGGGCCGAATATTACAATAACAAAATGTAGATTTCTATTCCCAATAACTATAATGAAAATCTACTCAGCAGTCAACGTTTCTGTTAACAAGTTCAACCGTTTATCTTACTCATAGATTTTTAGTTAATACAGAAAAAAAAAGGAATTATAAAGAAAATTAAGCACTTTTGTATCGGAAGTTTTAAAGTGAGAAGAAAAGAAAGTAAAGGATGGGATAGGAAAGAGCTTCTTCTATAATTAGGATTTGTATTTCTCCCTTAAAATTGAGAATAAAAAGATAGAGGGTGAAAATAATTTACATAAGGGCTCGTTCGGTTGATTGTGATTATGTTGTCTTTACTCATTTTAAGGGTGAAATTAAAGATGTTAAAGGTATTTGCATATTTAAAAATACGAATTGAATTTCAACTACATCCAACCAAATGCTGAAATCTAGCAAACTCGTTTTTCAAACAAATGAGCCCTAACTAAACTCGAAGATATGAACAAACTAGATTTATCTAATAAGAGAATAAAAGTTTATTCCCTCTCAATCCGGGCTTATTAATCTTTCTTCAACTCCTAATTAAAATTAAAAGAAATTGCATTTTTAATTCATTTTCTTTTCTACAAACCAAATCCTTACTATATCCAATCAACTCTCAAACAGAGGGAAAAAAAAAAACAATTTTAGCCGATCAACATGAATTTCGCAAAGAAAAGAAGATAAACCTAATCAAAACAGCTTCTTCTCGCGCCTTAACTAAATCATCTCTCCACAGAATATCCACGAGAATAACAGTCCAAAAGGAGCAAGCAACCCACCTCGAATGACGGGGAAGGAAGAGCTCTTCTGCTTCTTTCGGGTGTGAGCCCTCGCTGACGCAGCGGAGATCTTTCTGCTGGCCCCCGGCGCAGCCATGGACACCGGCTGATATCAAAGCGACCTTCACTCCTGCCAGAAACCAGCAAAATCACTTGAAAAGTTGAAATCTCAGGAAAATGACGACCAGTTGAAGGGATTAGACAAAAGTAAGAAACAAATAGAAAATATCGATGCCATGCCGCATTGGCCGGAACTCGGAAGCGCGACCACGTGTAGCCGTGGACAAGATGCATTTTATATGATTATCTATTTATTTATTTTGAGATTCAGGCTAATTACCATTTCATTTTAGATAACTTTTTATTATTTTTAAAATAATTTTTAGACCAAATTTTTAGCTTGTTTGGTGGGCGAGTACGGTTGAAAATCACCCAACCCACATCGCCTCTTAAGTGGGGCCCAATCAAGTGCGGGTCAGGAGATTTTTAGGAGTGGTGTCTCTTCTATGTTAGTCGAGGATTAGTTATGCCGCCAAGCATCATTTCGGAAGTGGCAGTGGGTGGATGCCCCGTTCCCAAAAATAATAATTAAAATATTTTTTCTAAGAAGTTGATTTAAAAAGCAGTAAAAAATCTGTCCTAAATGAAGCTCAAATCAAACTCTTACACACACATCACATATGTACGACTCAAACCAATAATATCATGTTTAGGAGCTAAAAACCAAAATGAGCCGCGAATATATCCTGAATATAATTTTAACAATTCGAAACCTCATTTTAATATTGACAAATTCTATAACAAATTTTAATACTGAGTTTATAACTTTGTTACACATATTTAAACTAGATATATTAAAAGAACATCATATAAAAAGTGCAATATATATTTAATTTGCATTATTTATTTAATTATATGAAATAAATATAAAATATGCTTCTATTTAGTGGAGGTGAGTGTAATTTTGTGAGCAATTTATTGATGCCTTCTCTTCCCTTCTCTTGCCCAAGTGTCAAAAAGTATAGCTTGTTGAATTTCACCTAACTCAACTTTTGTGAGTATTCTAAATTTTTTAGTATAAAGTATCTAAACATGCAATTTAAGGTTTGGAGATGCTTCTCTATAAAAAGGTGGTCTATTGTAGTTCCAAATTTAAGCCCCACTTGAATAGCAATTGTTCTATCATTCAATATTTTGCCTTTGTTTATCATCCATCACTAAGGGGTTTTATCATCATAACTTAATCAAATCTCATTAAGTTTTTTAATGATTGTTCATGCATTTTCAACGATCCTTATATCAAATGTTATATAAAAGATGGTCAAATAATCCTCATTTTTACTTGTTATTTTGTAATATGAGAAATTATTATCATTTATGCTATAAGAGAATGATTGGTCTATATTTTTATATCAATAATGAATTTTTTTAGATTCAATACAATCTTAAACATAGATGTGTTAAGAAGTTGTAACCATTTTCTTTTAGTCATAAATACATATAGTTGACCACATCCTTAAATCAAGTGATGCACATAACTAGCTATGTATAAGAGTTTTTGAGCAATTATTATAACTTTTATGTTAGACACAATTGTGTGGATACATGAAAATATAAACTTATAAAATGCATTATACACTACTTTTTATAATATGTAGTTGTAAGTAATTATATTGACATTTTTTGTGTTGTACATAGCTATATACAAACAGGAAAACACCTATTCTATGCTATGCAAAATTGTTTATAATAAGTATACACTATTGTTTATAATATGATTGTTGCGTCCTGTAATATTCGCGGTAGAGAGATATAAAGTTTAACGTCCTAGCTTTGTATGAAAACCAATCACACAAGCAGATAAAATAGAGGGTGTAGCGTTCATAAGAGACACCAGAGTTTTAACATGGAAACCCCTAAAAAGGGAGAAAAACCACGGGGTCTAGCCCAGTTTGAATGAATCCACTAATGCTTGCAATTGATTACAAATGAGACCCTTCTTTATGAGGAAAGTATTGGCTCAAAGTAGAAAATATACATCATATAAAGTGTATTATATGATAGGAGTTGGAAGAATCGGTGTTGATATGTTCGTTTAAGCGCAGTACCATAGTCGGCGAGCGATGTGAGTCGGAAGGACCATAATTGGATGAAGGTGGTCGGAAGGATCGTAGTCGGGCAAATGAATTAAAAATATCATAATCAGGTGACGATGCTCAGAAAGACCAAAGTCAGCATAAGGATTGTAGTCAGTGGACAACGTTAGTTAGAAGGATCGTAGTTGACAATGGTCATTAGAAGGACCGTAGTCGGCAGACCACGGCGGTCAAGAGGACCATAGTCAGTGGGCAACAGAAGTCAAAAGGACCATAACCAATGGGTGACAGAGTTCAGAAGGATGCTAGTCGGTGGGCAACGAAGGTCGGGATGACCGTAGTCGGATGACAATGGTCGGGAGGACCATAATCGGGTTGTGGAGGTTAAGAGAACCATTGTTGGGCGATGTTGGTCGGAATGACCATAATTAGCGGGGGATAAAGGTCCGAAGGGCCAGAGGGCTGTAGTTGGTGGATGACAGAGGTTAAAAAGACCATAATCGACAGGTGATGGAGGTTAGAAAGATCGTAGTCGACAGACAACAGAGGTCCAAAATATTGTAGTTGACAGATGGGCGAAAGTCCACAGGTGGTCGAGAAAAACTCCGGTGGTGGTCAACATATCGACTTGTGGAAGTCCATCGATGGTCAGGAAGAACTCTGGTGGTGGTCGGTAGATGAGCGGAAGTCCAACAATGTTCAATAGATGAGTAGAAGTTTGGCGATGGTCGGCGGACTATAGTAAGTCCGTCAGAGGTTGGGAAAACTCAGGCAGTCGTCGGCGGGCGAGTGAAAGTCCGGCGATGGTCATGAAGAGCTCCAATTATGGTCGGCGGATGGGCAAAAGTCTGACGATGGTAGGCGGACTAGCGGAAGTCCATCGGTGGTCGGGAAGAACTCCGACAGTGGTCGGCCGATGGGCAGAAATCCGGCGATGGTCGTGAAGAACTACAGTGGTGGTCGGCGAACGGGCGGAAGTCTAGCAGTGGTCGGCGAACTGGAGGAAGTCCAGCGGTGGTCGACGATGAGAAAGCTCCATAATTCTTCCCTATCTTCCCCCTTCTCCTCCTCCCTACCTCATGAGAAGAATGGGGGTTATTTTATAGTTTTTTTAGAGTAGCATGGCTTGTAAATTTATGAAGGATCAAGGTCAAAATGGGAGTGATTTGAATGAATGGTCGGTATCGATCCCCTTGATCATCGATCATTTATTTATCATTTACATTCGTTAATGATATCATAATTTAGTGATCTTAGGCTTGTTAGATTCGTCTTGTCGAGCCGCTCAATTCGACTATAAGCATGGCATGTTTGGAAATCGTCTGGTAATTCAAATTATGGTTTGAACCTTCCAAACACGCTTTGGGTCTTTGATTTGGACATATTTGGGCTCGGATTGAGTGGAATTTGGTGTCGTTGGTTTCACATTTTTGAAATGTTCAGTTCGACTATAAGTTTGCTTAAATCAAAATTCAGATGGTCTCCGATTTAATTTATGAAGCTTCCAACTTGATTTTTGCCTTAAGATTCGTGCAAGTGAGCATTTGTTGGAGAGTGGAGCAACAATCTTTCTTGCAAGTGAGCATGTGTTGAGTTTCAATATAGATGGAGTTAATTAATGATTGGCCTTCCAAAATAAGGAGGTAAAGCCTATTGGTTAAATGAGCAACTCTATGAAATCTCATCTTTTGACATTAAGAACAAAATGAATAATTTTAGTTCTTATAATACCATCTTACACATGTTGCACATTCAAACTTTCAATAAACAATTTTATTATTTCCATATACTTATTATATGGTGGCAAAAATTTTGATGTCTTACTCTAAGAATTTACATAAATATCCTTCTAATTGGGCAAATGTTATTTTTATTTTTAAAGGCTTTATTTGGGATGGCTTTTTTTACTACTTTCTAAAGCAACTTTCTAGTACAAAAATTTTATGAACTAGAAATTTTTATACTAGAAAGTTGTTTTAGAAAGCATTAAGAAAGCCACCCCAAACGAAGCCTTAGTTTCTCATTTTAATGGAATAACAATAAAAGTAAGAGCAACTCATTTGATTAGGCATTGAGCTACTTTTTTATTCGATGCATCACTTGAAATCTAAGACCAAATGAAGTAACAAATAGCAATCTCAAATAATAAGTGTGTTATAATGTAATGGAAAATCCAAAATAGTAAAGGCAATTCTTTCACCTCATCTTTCCACACCTCAATTAACATGTCCTTGTTTCAAGAACTCAATAGTCGATTATCACCACCCATTTAAGCATACATTGGTGACATATCTATTGTTGATTCTGTAGATACATCGTTGTAAAAGTGAGACAAGATTATCTACAATATCAAGCAAAACCACACTAGAAGACATCAAATGAAACAAGGAGGATATAAAAAATGACATTACATGAAATGTGAGGTCAATGAATTAGTACTTGTAAAACTGCAACCGTACAAGCAAATCTCAGAAAGAAATGAGCATTATCCAAGCTTCCTCATCATTATTGAGACCCCCTTTCCCACCCTAGAAAGAATTTGCATTTATCACCTTCAGGCTGAAGCAACTGCCACAATTTCACATCCACCTAGTTTTCCACATTTCTCTTTTCATCATAAGAACAACAACCTACACATAACACCCTTGCCATCAAAAACATGGTAAACCCACCCTATAAGTCCACCTGAGCTAATCCTACATTCTTAACAAATCTTTATTGGTCAAAACATTATATGGAAACACCTTATATAATAGACTAGCATGAATTTGGAAGAGACCACCAGGATCATTGATGATGTACTCAGCACCATAAAATTAAATATTGATAGTTGTTGGGGGCTACAATATATGCGATAATATAGTTATAATCCTATGTCTTAGCGTTGTATGAATCACACATAGATAACACAATATTTTTTACATGGAAAACCCTGAAAAGGGAAAAACCATGGCACTTGGCCCAGTTGAAAATGATTCCACTAAAATTTGAGTAGATTATAGAGGGCTGGCTCAACCTTGAGGGTGATTAGATTACAAATGTCAACCATATGGTTGAAATATAGTGACAAACATGGATGAAAATCTGGCATCACTTGGTGGTCCGTCGGAAGTCCTGAGTTAAAAATTCGGGCTTCAGTTGGTAGTACGGTGATGGTTTGGCAGAAATTCAACGTCA